CAGGAATGGGTTTTGTAACACTGCCTGTGTTTCTGCCTGACTTTGAACTGAGGTATTCTATACAGCCAGTGCAAAATTTGGAACCATGTCTTGAACTTGAAACTTGCACATTCCCAGTTGGCACCAGCACTGCCACAATAGTTTTAATTCCAATTGCACACGCATCTCTTCCAATAAACTTCTCTGGTGAACATTTTGCAGAAACTTCTGTACATACTGATTAGAAAACTTTCAACTTACTAAGAAAGAAGAGAAACTTAGCCCAAGAAATAAAAAGATGGAGCTTTGGGAAGCAAAGACCAGAAAACAGGTTCAGGGTGACATTAATAGTTAATGGCAAAATTAAATAAGGTCTTCTCTTGGCTTCCAAATGAAAAAATAAAACATAAAAAACCACTGAAGATTGGAAAGTTAGTTTGCTTGCTATTAAGTAAATTTGATTTATTAAGATAATGAGGAAGATGATTCAGTCTCTGCAGTCTTGCTGATCAACAAAGTAATGCTTGTGTCACACAGTGTGACTCTTCATTTTAATGACTAGGTTTTTCTTCTGAAATCAAACTCTTGCAATAACATGGATAACTCTGCCACTCCTTGTTATTCTGCAGTTTTAGTGATGGACAATTTGAACATAACTTTCATTCACATGCTGAATCTGCTTTGTACCTTCATATTTTGGTATTTGTAAAGTTAATAATTATTATCTTTTTTCTAAGTTAATTGTCAACCTCAGAGTATAATGGAAGGATGAATAAAAATGTGACATAGTATAGTATAGTATAGTATAGTATAGTATAGTATAGTATAGTATAGTTTGAATAAACAAATTATTTACAGTATATAGTTCGGTATACTTTTAAATTTATTTATTTTTAATAAAATAACCAGTTGCATTCTGCTCAAGCATTTTACCTTCAAGGGAGCCATTCTTTGTGCAACATAGGCAAAATTCTAGCAATTCAGGCCAACAGATCCTTAGTCTTCAAAAGTCAAAAAAAATTTTGCTATAGTTTAATACTGTTCATTAAAATCCACAGCAGTTATTACATGGGAAAATCATTACTATTCTAAACAGTGTCCTACTTTCAAACTAGAAACTTAGGCTAATATAAGTCCTATGGGTAACAGCCAGCAGTCATCTTGGTTTTATGGGAAGCATTGCTACACTATTTTGATTACTCCAGATTGGTTGCCTAAAGGTGCACGTTTTTCTCCATTTATAGAAAACTGATCACGCTCTACTTTGCCTCGGGATAATTTTCAATATTTCAGTGAATTGATGGCTGATCATTTAGTTCAAAGTAAGTTTGCCTTCCTGGGAATATTATTTAAGTCGTTAAAAGAACAAATTCCTCTCTGGGTTTAAAAATTAAGTGTATTGGTATTAGCTGTTCCAGTGGTCCTTTGCTAGGCAACCACTGTGTGATTACTTTCAAACCAAGTGCACTGGATTAATGACATGCAGTTTGGAAGGAGGTTTTTCCCATCTTTCCTGCACTGCAGAACTTTGTCATACAATGACCCCCAGCTGCCCTTCTAGCAGTGGCAGTAACAGCAGGTGGATCTCTGAAGGCTTCCAAAGGTACAAGGAGGCACTTAGCAGAGCTCTTGAAAGTTTTTCCCTCCTCTGGGTTGAGCATGACTGCAGGATGTACAGAATGAATTGCATCCCAGAAGAGAGGAATCTTTCAGAAGAGAGAGTTTCTTTGCACAGATTATTTTGTGTTTATAGGGAAAGAAATATATGTACTATGGCTACACTTCTTTAATGTGCATGCAATGCTTTCAGATACATAGTGAATATTTACTTCTGGAAGGAATAATGTGAAGACTAATATAATCATCACCATAATCGGCAGCAGCAGTAGCTGCATGCAGTTTGGAGCAATGCAATAAGGACAGTAGCCACAGCACATACTTGTGTATGTCATGTGCCTCTTGAATGTAATGAGAGAATCCAGTAATCTCAATAGAAGTTTACTTGGCTGAGGATAGAACTAAGTAGTAATTTAGCTGAACATTTTAATTTACCATAGCTATTAAAGAAATTAATTCAGTATATGTTATACAGAAGCATGCTTGCCTCTGAGAGCAACACTGGTGCTTTCAGCTGGGGAAAGGGGGAGAGGGAGGGAAGGAGGGAGGGGGGCAGGGAGGAAGGAAGGAAGGAAGGAAGGAAGGAAGGAAGGAAGGAAGGAAGGAAGGAAGGAAGGAAGGAAGGAAGGAAGGAAGGAAGGAAGGAAGGAAGGAGGGTTGTGTGTATCGTAAGGGATGAAAACATCAATTTTATTAAAAAGGCTAAAAATACTAAAATAGCCTTTAAAACATCAAGAAATTTATTATATTTAAATAAAATAACTTTGGCATTCTCACAGGAGTAGCCCAATTTAGCTCTCGCCATGGAATCAAGGGGCGTGGTTAACTCCTTGTGTAATCTGCAAGTGTCTAAAATGTTTTTGTCCACTTCTCAGCCCTGTGCTCTTGGTTTTTATTCACAGGAGAGAAATGGAAATATTTTGAATACTTTCACCTTCTAAAATGTGCCTCTAAAGCAGATAAGACAAACCATATACTGAAAGAACCAATTTCTTTTCATTAAGTGTAGAAAGCAGGACACAGTGTGCAGGTTATCTATTATTATTTAGAATTTAGATGTCTAAAATCACAGGAAATTAATCCTGCCTGAAAGACACTAAATCTGTGAATGACTAATTGTGATGATGGACTTTCTACATCATTTAATGTGCCATAATTTTCTCCCACTCTCATGTTTATCAGGTTTACTTTTGTCAAAGGCCTTGGAAGCAGAGACTCTTTATTACTTTCCCGGTATCTTACAGTCCAGTATCTACTCCTACTCCTGGTTGTTGTGCTGGGTACTACTGAGAGGAGCAGTGACCCATGTCGGTACTGGAATTGTGTGTATTGTATATTGCTAAACACAATGGTGGTGTGCAGATTGTGCTTGACTTTATGCAGCTTATCCATAAACACACATTTCTAAATACAGGAACTAAGTAAAGGAAATTAAAAGGCTTGACACATTTCCTAGAGTCTTTGACTTCATTTTTTGCTCATTCTTCTGCCTTGGCAGACAATGTTCGACTTAATGTTTGATTAACATTTCTTCCATTCTTTTCAGTTTGTTCATGTCAGTAGAAGCACTGGTTTACACTCCACCTGACTCTTTACACCCGCTTCTATGAAATTGTCTTGATTGGTATGTTGTAAATCTTTTTTCAGTGAGGCAAATCAGCCAAACAGTAAGCCAGCAGAACCTGTGGTTACCATCCCACATCAATTCCTTCATGCCATTCCCTGCACAGAGAAAACTGCTGGGGATTAGTGGAATGACAACAACCCTTGGCCACAAGGTTCACTGTGTCATGATGCAATACCTCCTAGCTGTAACCACAGCAAGCCCTTTAAGCACAGCTTCTGAAATGACTTTCCGATTTCTTGGGGTCATACAGTTTTCACTGGCACAATTCTTGTGAAAATGTTTGCTTTCATCTAACAGAGACATTATGGAAACATTCACAGGCTTGTCAGCCTTTTCCAAATACATCTATCTCAAATATACTTTACATATAGGAACTTTTCCTTTTCACACATTCCCAAATTCCCATCATCAAATTTTTATTTACCTTGAAGTTTCTAATTTATGGCAATTCATTGATTTTACAGTGACTTCAGAGATGCTTTGGGTGAAAGTTATTCGTACTGAGTTAATTTATTTCCTATATAATATTTAGCTGTGGTCAAATTATAGACTGTAAGAAATGCATTTGTTTATATGCCCTCTGTTACTAGATGATTAAGTTTAATTTGCCTCAACTAATAAACCCATTGTGCTTTTGCTTGGATGAGTTGTATGTACATTCCTCAAGGGATTAATCTTCATACGTTTCCAATTTCTTCATTCTTCTGATGGTTTCCTGTAAGAAGACAGAGTTGTTTAACTATTGCAAATGATGCCTTCTGCAAATATCATACTCTAGAAAGTTAAGGTTCGTAACAAGAAGCCATAAAATTTATTAGGCCAAATCAGACAAAACCGCAGTCAGACAAAACCACATAGAAATTCTCTGGCATATAAACTCTCCTTTACATCTGAAATGGAAGCAACCTACATCAAGTGAAGTACAGAAATCACTTCCAGTTCAGTTTTATTACTGTTATTCACCCTGACTGTCTGAGAAAGTAAACATCTCTGAGGCTGAGAGAGCTGATAGTAGGCAGAGGTGATAAGGTTAATAGCCTCTACTGAGGAGAGAGGAGGGACAGATCATTACCCCCTGTGGAATCACAAGGATTAGCAGGAGATACAGTGAAAAAAATCATGTAATGTGAGATAAACTAACCTTCTTACTAATTTCTTGAATGTATGATTTTTACTATATAACAAAATAATAAACCTTGTGTTCAGACTGACCTGAAAATACCACAAATGGCCACAACTGTTTTGAAATGCCAGCATTGAGTTCTAGTGTCTATAAATGACTTCTTCTGTAAAGGCATACTCATGTACATTTGCCAAAAATACCCTATTTTCAGATTCATATCTCAAAAGAAGATAACAGAAGTAACTCAAATTTGAAATTATGGCACAGAAGACACAGCATGCAGAAGGAAGGATTTTGTGTGTAGTAGTTGGAGAATCTGGTGAATGACAGTACCTCCACATTTGTGGCCATGAAGATATCCTGAAATACTGTGTCTGGAAATTCAAGATGCCTTTCAAAATTTTACTCATCCAGAATGATTGCTGAGAAGCTCTGCCTGTCAAGTACATAATTTCCACAGAGACCTAAAACTTAAAGTTATTAGAATGGCAAGGTTTACTTAAGTTTCACATGAGAATTACTGTGCTGATTCTGTTGAAACTCTAAAAAATATTTAATATGAAGTTTTTATGAAAGTTAAAATATTAGCAGGTCAGTGAAAAACTATCTGTATCCCATTACAATATGAATTTCTTTTTTGTGCTATTATTGCAGGTGATTATGTAGTCATGACTATATACTTTGACTTAAGTAGAAGAATGGGATACTTCACTATACAAACATACATTCCCTGTATATTAACAGTTGTTCTCTCCTGGGTATCCTTTTGGATCAAAAAAGATGCCACACCAGCAAGAACAGCATTAGGTAAGTTGATAATAATTCCCTTTTCTGATGTTCCTACACTACAATTTGAAAATGTCAGCTTCCTTTCAAAGAGACCACTGGGTATAGCCTCTGGATTATTACTACTACATCTTGCAGAACCAGATCTACTTATTACTGAGACCATTGGGTTTTTTTCCTGTAACAGGGTAATTAAAAATAAACAAATCTGACCCTTTGGATGACACTACCTACTTTGCATAAAACTCTTGAATTAATGTCCGTCTCCTTGTTCTCACCATGATATTTTAGTGACATTTTTGAAGACTTAATTAATTGCTCTGCTGGTTTCCTTCCCTTCTGTAACTCTCCCCCACTGGGCATTATGTCTTATATATACAGAAAACTGTGGGATATAACAGTATTAACTCATGCAAAGTGTTTAACTTGCATGCTTGAACTTAAGCTTCATACTGGGTGTATTGATATTTTTCATAGATTGTGAATATTTATGCTGGCTTAGGTTTTCCAGAAACTCATTTGTGTCAGGACCAGCATGTGCATTTGGGCAATGTGCTTTAGTGTATACTTAGAAATGTTGACTTCTAATATCTATAGGAAGACCTGCAGGTTTTGACAGCATCAAGGGTATAGGGGTATGTAACTATATGTAAACATCAGAGCCAAAGGAAAAACAATTCCTTAGTTCAGACTGTGGTTGCCAGGTCTGCCAATATGAACTGATTCAGAAACTTACCAGTCTAGGAAAAAAGGAGAGCCTATGTCAAAGTTTGCATGTCTGTTTTCAGCCATTTCCAGCAATTAATTGCATCCTCCTGCTGGAGTTTGTTACTCTGTAGGTCCATTTTCCTGAGGTTATTTTACAGGAAAGGAATATTCAGTCCTCATTCCCTCAGTGTGAGTGCCAAAGGGCCAGTACACCACAGCTCCAGCAACAGGATGGACCCAAAGACTCACAGTTATTCTGTTATCCAGTAACACCTCCAGGACAGGAAAAAGACAATACACAGGTGAGGACAGAGCAGCTTACAACTGCCTGTTCCTGCCTGGGTAGACTTGCCTCTGACAGCCAGAAAATTGAACAATGGGTCTTAAGTATAACTCTCTGCTGAACTCTTAAATTGACCTCTTTTCTTCTTAAATTAGGTGACTCAGGGAGGAAAAGGAAAGAGTGACTGTTCTCCATCTTTTTTTTAAAAGGCAGTCTGAAGCCCATGCATGGGGAGAGTCACATAGCATCCAGTTTGGTTATCCTTCTTAATTCAGAAAAAAAGAGACAAAAGACATCTAACACTTTGTGTTATTGACTTGCCATAAGCCTTTTTCTTATTCTGTACCTAAGGGAAGTTCCCCACACCACACAGCTCATTTTTCCAGATAAGTAGACACAGAAGTATGTTAAATCACTAATCACTAATGTGTGACACTCTCTCTAAAAAATGCATACTGAAGACGCTGAAGTCATGAATTTGGAGTAAGAACATAAAAATGAGTTGTTCCAAGCCTCTATTCTATGGATGTCATGACTCACTCCTAAAACTCTGACTGAGAAGTTAGTTTCATTGACTAAAATATAACTTTTCTAAAAGTAAAGCCAAGTATATATGAGTCACTTATTTTGTGCACAGAATCCTGCTGCTCCCAGATTGCATCCCAAGACAATGGCCTGTTGACTCCCGGGATGTAGTAAGCAGATGCTTCCATTTTTCTGTAGACCTACATGTATAATGCAACTTATAAATCTCTCTGAGCAACAGCACACATCCATGTCGGAACTCAAAATGTCCCTCAGACATTTTTAGAGGTTCCAGGCCTTGGTCAGAAGCATTTTAGACCCTGGCAAGCAGCTGAAAACAGCTGTGATTTTGAGTTTGAACCATGGAATGAATTACCAACTTTGAAGGTGGAACAAGCGGTCACAGAGAGTTAGATGGTATAGTAAAAGTAGTCACAAATTAGAGGGTAAAATTTTTTAGTATTGTACAGGGGGGTTTTAACACCTGTACAGGGGGGTTTTACTTTGTACAGGGGAGTCAGAAGTTCTAAGATGGAGGAAAGTGGGCCTAATCCTTTTCTTCCTCCTTCTTTTTCCTTACCTCCATATTCTTAATAATATTAACATTTTTCTATTAATTTAAACTAAAAACACACTATTCAACATAAATAATAAATATTAACACATTATTATAAATATAATACACATAATTTCTAATATATAATATTTATACCATCCCACTAAAAAACAAAGCCCCACACACTACCCTACAAAACAAACCTACAACAAAACAACAAAACTTATTATAAATAAACAAAAATAAACAACCTTAAAAACAACACAAACAAACTATAACTTCTTCTTTAACAACAAAACAAAAAAACAAAAACTTTCTACAATCTCAAAATCACCAACACCCACAAATTCCAACAATCCACATCTAGACAGTAGCACATGGCAAAATTGTGAGTAATGCCTCCAAAGGCAAACTGCTGAAATTGTCCTACTAATTAGTTGACATTAATTGTAGAGACCCTGTGCAACAAACCTTCTAACCTTCTCCAAGTATAGCTGCATTAATGTAATGGGAAATATTTATCTCTCTGAAATGAATGAATAATTTCCAAAGTTATTGGCAACTACTCACAGTTACATGAAAAACGGGTTTTATTCCTTTCTGAATAATGCTAACTAATATATTTCCATGCTGGGGAAAAAAAAAAAAAAAAAAAGTATTTGGTGTTTGGGACCATAAGTATTCTTTCAGCACTACTGTCCAGAGACATTAAAAACTTAGTTTTATACTTTGAGGTACTAAGGCCCAGATTGGTAACAAGACTAATTCCAGGCCACCTGAAGAGTCAGTGGGAAAATGGAAGTAAAATTTGAGTGCTGGATGAGAACTGTGTTTTTTAATCCTGAGTTATTCTGCTCTTCATTCAAAGAGAAAAAAATAATGTCTCTGCAGTTTCTGCTTGTATCTAGTAATTAAAATTATCTTAAATGTTCTAAGTCAAGAGGCAACTTTTCGCTGGAGAAAAGTTATGATCTGAAAAATAATACATTATTTTCCTTGAAGATGAAGGGAAATAAGTTAAATTGAAGCTTTCATCTAGTTTCCCTGTACTTTTCAAAATGAGTATACTATGTCATAGGACCAGGAAGTTGCTACAGAGCAAGATCAAACTGCAGTTTAAAAAGGTACTGTGGGTATGAAGGTCAGAAATGTGTTGATGTAAAAAAGATACAGATTATATTTAATAAAAAATGAACATTGCTTAACTTGCCATTTCATCTTTACCTCACTCACTGGTAAACCAAGAAAGTACTCAAAACAGGGGCCAGACCAGAAAGATGGAGAACTAACTTAATGAACAAGTGATAGCATGCATGAAAGCAGAAGACATTTCCTGTAGTGTCCCACCAAGATAACCTCAAGAAAATAAAAAACTACCCTTGCTGACCAAGCAAGCAGTTTCTAACACTGAAATTCCTGCCACCTCACTTTGCATATGGTTGTTCAGTAAGCAGATTTCAAGCAGTAGTAATTTTAAATAACTGTTTAGACCAGTGATCTAAAAGTTAGTGTTTTCATGCATTAGGTAGATATGCATAATTTGATCTTCCAGTCAGTCCTTTTTGTTATATCAAATAGCATCTTTAGTATGGGATTTACTGAGAAAATATAATGTCCCAAAATGGTATTTACACAGAGATTTGAGAAGCTTACACTTACAATTTCTACCTGAATATTTTGAAGTCAGGTTATCTCAGAGCTGTCGTTAGCTGATACTAAAATTCTGTCGAAATAAATAGAGCCCTGTGAAATTCATGAGCCCGGTGAATTTCAATAACAGATGCAAAGCTCACTTTGCCATACGGGACTCTACAAAGTGAGAGACTTCACAATTTCATCTGGCAAGACATATGCATTTGAAACCACTCAACAAACCAAATTTCCTTAGCATGAGAGATAAAATGAACTAAGGGTATGGAAACTAGATATTATATTTGGAAATAATGGTGCTGAATTGCATTCATACACACATATATTTATATATTCTGATTTGTAAATGTACAGAAATATGAAACTGTATCATCTAGTGCATCTTCTTTCTCTTTCCTCTCCATATGTATCCCCATAAACTCATTTTAACATTTTAAAATTTGTGCCTGTTTGCTAAATGTAAAACTGATACACTAGATAGAATTTTCATAGTTTCAAAAACTCAGTGCATGTTTACAATATGAGAAGGAATCCAGTTGCAAGCATGATCTGAGCTGGTGTTTCACATTCAGGCTTAAGGCATGAAGTAGGACACAGGCTGAGTTGAGGACTTCTTTACTTAAACAATTTTTTTTTTAGCCATTTAATAAAATCTGTCATCACATGGTGAGTGGGAAATAAAAACTTACATTTGAATCCAGTAAACAGGATGCTGTATATTGTAGTGGAAGAACTCTATAGATTTTGAGGAATATTTTTAAAGATAGTAAAATACCTGAAAGCATGTACATGTGACTGTGAAAAGGACACTTCCATGTCAGGAATCTAAGTGTGGATTAGGAAGTGTTAAAGAACTTTATTTTACATGGTAGGGTTTATCGTAGTCTGGATGTGGTTCTTTTGAAATTAGTGACTCCCAAGGCCTGGGTCAAGGCCATACAGAAAGTGACTGACCTATAGTCAGTAAGGGTCAAATCAAAGCCTCCCAGTTCACACCTTCTGCACTTGGGCATCTCTGTGGTTGGCTACTGTGATAAATGGCTAAACACAGTCTTTGCAGCTTTTTTAAAGCATCAGCTGGATACAGATCTGATGTTGAGGAGTCTGGAGGGGTTTCTGGACCATCCCAACCCCATCTGCTTATAGCAGGAGGTGGCATAGATTTCAGGAAATGGCTTTCAGATGTCCAAGGCACACACAAAGTCCACACTTTCCACTTCCTATCAGCATTGCTTTCATCTTGGTTATTGACTTGTGATTTTTTCAGAAACTTTTTGTTTGTTTCTGGGTAATAGATATATAAGGAATTCAATTAATCATTATTATTCAAGGTTGAGACACAGGCAATAATTTGCCTTCTGGCTTTTCCAGGGACTTTCTGTTAGCTTGAATGGAGAAGGTTATTCCTGTAGCTTATATCAAATCACTGTAGCTTATAGCAAACTTTACAAGTCAGAGATGAACAATCCTTCATAAAGAGAAGTAGTGAAAAGTAATCCACAGATACTTCTTTCTCTCCAGGGTGCTTTTAGTGAGGAGTTATTTAACTTTAAGGCATAATTTCAGTCATTCCTCGCCATTTCAAACATTGTGCACCATTGTGAAACATAATTTTAACTATAAAAAAAGAAAGATTACATTACAGCTTTGCTATTTGTTGAGAAGATTCTCTCTTGAGACTTACTTGTGGGAAAGCTTTATTTATTTTCCCTAGCTAATGAGAAGCTTGATTTTCTTCTATGAGAAGACATGCAGTTCATAACAAGTTGGGAATGAAAAGACTGCTATTCCTCCGGAATGAAGAGAAATTGTATGAATTACTAGGAGTCAAATGACTTACATGACATAGATTTCATTTTAGCACTGGTTTTATCATTTTGGATATTTCACACTAATCCCATTGTATTCACTATTACTAAATCAATCTCAGAAGTGATGCTTTGTATGAATTAAAAAGGCTATTTCTGTTAATGTTGCATCTGAAGTTTCTATGAGAGTCTTATTCTGACTGAGCGAGTAACATTGACTTCCCTTACTCAGAAGGAAAATGGCACTGGAGGACTCCCAAGGAAGCAGTGGTATAAAGACATACTTTCAGAATTCATGGTCAGATCTTAGCAGAATTTTTTTTTTTTTTTGTTTGTTTCCTTCACTGCTTCCTGAGATCAGAGAAAGGACGAGAGAAAGAAAAGCATATTGAGAGGCATGGGAATGTCAATTTTGCAAAGATGAAAATAAACAGAGCAAAACCATTTTTACAAAATAACTTTGCCTTTACTGATATTATTTTCCATTATTTCTTAATACTACCAAATAAAATTCATTAATTACTTGGGTAGACTCTGGATTTCTGTTTTGTATGTTTATTTACAAAGATTCTTCTGTGATATAGAGAAGTGATGTTTAAGTGAAACAGTTAAATCAAGTTTCTCTCTGCAGGCATCACCACAGTATTGACCATGACAACTTTGAGTACCATCGCAAGAAAGTCATTGCCCCGTGTTTCCTATGTCACTGCCATGGATTTGTTTGTGACTGTATGCTTTCTATTTGTATTTGCTGCTCTGATGGAGTATGCCACCCTCAACTACTACTCAAGTTGCAGGAAACCAAACTGTACTAAGAAGAAAAAGTCGGTAAGATGGGAGCATTTAAATTTATTTTCATGTGCAGCTCAGAGAGCAGATAATCATTCGGTGGTAGCCTGTAATCACATGGCAACTTCACTCCTCCAAGATTTTCCCAGTGGTGTGATTTGCCCTGAAAGCTGCTGGAAAAGTCACCTGCAGTAGCAGTAGGAGCAGTTATGTGCCTGCTGAGTGAGGTCTGCTCCTAACAGAAGCAGCCTGCTCACCATGGAGCAGCAACCCTGTCTACACATCCTTTGTCCTGCAATTACTGTGCTGGTAGTCGGAAAAGTCTCCCACTGAAACAGATTGCATAGCTTGTTATACAAATAAATGCACATCAGTGTATATTCAAATGCATTGCTATTTCATGGCTTAACACATCTAGACATATTTATGAGCAGAATTTCATTGTCTCTGCTGGGAACCAGCATTTTGTTTAAGCCCTGTGCACAATGCTGTGTGTTCCCAAGGACAAAAATGGAGATCACTTAAAAAGGTTTTAGGCATGGCTCATTTTTGGACAAAAACCAACTTTTAATGGTAACACCCAGAAAAAAACATAAAAGCTATTTATTCAGAATCAACTAAAACAATAATGCAGGAAGAATTGCCTTGTTTACGTCATAACTGACTATCGGAATGATAGGGGGCAGTTTACAAGGGAAAAAAAATCTCAGTTTAAACATACAGAAGGGGGTTGACCACTCAAGATCAGTGATAAATATTATTTGTTCAAGATCAGTTGCTGGAGATGTTGGATGCAATTGTGTGTAATTGAGGAAATAAGGACATTTGAAATCAGAAATCAAAGCCAAATAGGAAAAATGTGAACAAGGAAATTGAAGAGAGAGAAGCCTAAATTTAGGGAATAATAGGTCATGATGTAAAAAGGAATTGAATGAAGAGCTATAGAAAATTATTGAATGAAGAACTAATGAAGGAAAAGCTGAAACAAATATGGGATTAGAGAAAGTCTAGAAAGCCACAGACTTAGTCAATGACAACTCCATTAAACCCAAAATAGCTTCTTGCAAAAATGCATTGCTCACAAAAGCAAAAGATTGTTAACAAAAGAAAAGTTTGAGACTGAAATGAACTTGCTAATGATCAAACAAAAATTGCCATCCTATAGAAAGACTGAATTAAAAAGTCATGAGTATCTTTGTTAGTAGGATGTAATTCCAGACATATGAATAAAGACATGAGAAAGCATGCAACATTGATGGGATTTAAATTAACACCAGAAAAAAATGATCACTTACCTATTGTTCAATCAATAAATAAATTTAATGGGTTGAATAAAGATTTTTAGTCTATGAAAACCAGATGTGCATTCTGCTGAAGTTTCATGCCACATTCAAGTGTACAGAATATTATGCTGAATACACTGCATATAGAACACACTGCATGGAGTGTTTTATGCATTTAAGGGGTTGGTCCAAGGAATACTACTGAATATAGATGAATGTGAAGCACTAAGTATGCTTTCTTCTGAATAATTCTTTTGTTATCTTTATTTAAGCTACCTGATGTAAGTTTTGGTCATGTTATGGTAAGTAAGCTACTTTATTCAGTGAGAGAATTGGGGGCACAAATAGATGGTTGACATTTTCTTGCACTAATTCCTGAGAGAGCTGTATTGCTATGTTATGCTTTACCCTGACTTCACTAAAAATATTGGTTTGCTTTTCTTGTTAAAAGGTCAGTTTGTTTTCAGCTGTGGCAGAAGAACACGGCTGCCTCTTTCTATAAGGACTTGCCAAGTGATATGAGAGGGTGGAGGGTCAAGTAGAGAATATTATGTGTTATTTTTACCTCAGAAATTTTGTGTGGCTGCTTTATATAATACAGAAGTTTCTCACTACATTTTATGAGAAAGCAATAAGCATAATTTATGGAATAAATGTCTATGAAATTTTAACTACGTTTCACAGAAAAAGAAAGTTCATTTATGCATGTGAAAACCTTTAGTAAGCTTTCAGGTGGATTTTCAAATAATTTGGGCATAGAAGTTGAACACAGGTAGTTGTACTCTATCTACAAATGGAATATGTGCAGCACCAATAAAGTTGGAACAGAGCACAAAATTGTCTCTCTGAGTTGTATGAATACCTGCTATAGTATATGCAAATATAAAGCACTCAGAAAGCATGAAGCCAGTTAACCAGCTGGTTGAATGATCTGCCATCATATAAGAATAGAGTCAGAACTAAAACATCGGAGTTTGCATTTCTTAGGCTTGATATGCTGAAGTTTCTCATTTACAGCTGCCAGATCCATGTTATTAGCCTATCCTTTTACAAATAATATATACACTTATTTTTTTTAAACATGAGTTCTCTGATGTATTTTAGCACTTCATATAACATATAAATTCCGCTCATTGGCAATTGGTGGCTTACAGCAAGCATCACATCTATCCACTTTCCACTGCTGTCACTCTCTGGACAGAATTTTCTGGAAGATTAAGTTAACAGAGCATGTTGAATGAGTAGCAGCACTTTCCTTTTTACAATTAAAAGCCATAGGGAAAGATAAAATGATATTAGGGTATAAAAACCCTTATCTAGAACCAGTCATTCTAATTTGCTTGGAAAGTATTTGCAGCATTTTCAAGTTTTTTACTCGCTCTTTATTTTTTTACCTTAAGATAGGTACTGAGCAGGACTTTTGTCTATACAAAAAAAAAAATATCTTCAAATTAGAGTTTAAATAAGCAATGTCTCTGGTTCTCAAGATATCATTTTGTCTTTTTCATCTTTGTAGTGATGACATTTAAAAGGTGAAATTTATTACTTTTAGTAAATCCATGTTCCAGTAATCCCAAGCCTTTTCTTTTCCTCCTGGGAAACACACATATACCTTGTCAGAAACAATATTATTAAGCATGTTTAACACTGCACCTAAACTGCCTTGTCCAAGGCCCTGGAGAAGTGCCTTGCCTTGGCAGATCTCCTGGGTGGAAATGGGATGGTGCCCACAGTCCCACTCACTTGTGTGCACACCCACTTGTGTGCACTACTGTCCTCCCAGCCCCAGCTCAGCTGGACACATAGAACCTGGGGGCAACCATCCACCTTCCTCTTGTGTCTTGTCACTTCAGGATACCTCCTACCTGACAGAGATTAAAACAACCAGATGAATCTCTCTGTACTATTAGGGCAAATATTTTATCTTCTGTTCTGAGCAGATAGTTGATATAACAAAGCAACAAAATACCCCAGACATGAGGAAGTTTCCTTTGCAGAGACAGAGCATTTTTTAATCTTCACTTACCAAAACCTTTCTGAGCCTTTATTTTTTTAAACATAAATATTTTAGACAGACATGGATAATTTCAGTCCCTGAGTTGGAAATGTTCATAAAGACCTGCAATAAATGTACAATATATGACCTAGTCATATAGTAGAACTCTGTGTATACTCTAGTCAGTCTTTTTTTTCCAAACTACTAGAGTCAAAAAATACTGCTTGTACAATAATCTTGTACCTTTTTCACATGGCAACACATTGTAAGGCTCTGAAACAAGCCACACAAAACTTTACAAAACTTTACAAAAGAGAGAGAAAACCATATGGATGTGATTTCTGTCATCTATTCTCAGAGATAAAGTCATTCACAACAAATAGATTTGCAATAATCTGCTTCTACACTGCAATCTGCTTGCAGTTCACAGCAGAATGCACCTGAGACATTTTAGCATTTACTTATGATAAAATGAATTGTGTCCAGAAGTAATTGACTGGATTCCGTAGGGCAGTGTTCAGGTTGGCAGTGCCAACATCTAAGTAGAGGGATGCCACATTAAGTTCTTAGCTCTGGGACCAGCATTTTTAATGAGATGGGTAATACTACAGCATGCCAAACCAAAAGATTCGTAGAAAGCCAATTAAGTCAATATAAAAAGGAAACAGTTCCACTGAGGCACATCAGTTATATTTTTATAAAAACCAATGTTTTTCACATCCAGGAGGAAACCTGGATACCCCGCAACACCTTCAGCAGGAAATGTTGAGTACTTTGTATAGTATGGAAGCAAGAGCCCAGAGCATCCTCCTAAATGCAAGCAGTTGTGACCAGCTTGTTCCTGGCACAGCCAGCATGTTCCTGCAGGCAATGCCTGTGTTCGGCACAGTGCCAGGCGAGAAAGGGCCTCAGGTAGGGCAAACCAGGCTGACAGGGCTGTGTCTGCTTTGTCAGGATGGTACAGACAGGCAGCAATGCTGATGGGACATTATTCCTAGTGATGTCAGTGGAGGAGGTGACACTTGTGAAAATGGAATGGGTGGCTTAATGAGAGGGGAGACTATTGTGAGAAGGCGTCTTGCATGCCAAAGAAATGATGTGACAGAAAAGCTGACAAAGTGTAAATAGGGAGTACATTGAAGGAGAGGTCTGTAAGCATGAATGCTGCTGTGAGGATGCATGACATCAAAGTGCCTTATTTCTGATCATGGTTATGTGAAAAGCACTAAGGGGACGCATCTTGGTATGGCATTTGAAATCCTGTACTGAAATAATCACTATCTATTGCTGGCCATATCTGTTCTTATAAATCATAGTAAAGTTAAGAGGCAGTGAATGCACCTATGCAAAGTGGAGGACATTGTATAAGTAAATGGAGGGGGGGGATATCTTCTTTATTTTTGAGAATCCATCTTAAATGTCGTAGCTGCAAGTGTTTAAAACAACTTGCAAATTATATTTTGACAGGTAAGTGAACTCCTAAGTGTGAAAAAATGATTGCTTTCTGCTGTTATTATTAATTTTGAACTGCATAATCCAGGGAAACATGTCAAACTGTTGCAATTTTTTTCTCTCCTCAGAATTATTCTGTACTTGATATGAGACCACCAACTACAGTCATCACATTGAACAATGCCATGTATTGGCAAGATTTTGAAGATGCATGTGTCTATGAATGTCTGGATGGGAAAGACTGTCAGAGCTTTTTCTGTTGTTATGAAGAGTGTAAATCAGGCTCATGGAGGAGAGGACGGATTCACATAGACATCTTAGAACTGGACTCTTACTCTAGGGTCTTTTTTCCTACATCCTTCCTGCTGTTTAACCTGGTCTACTGGGTTGGATACCTCTATCTTTAAATGTTGCCTGTAGCAGTGAAGACTGCTGCGTTTTCTCACTGCAGATGGATGGTGAAAGTGCAGAAAAAGTGAAGGACACAGTCAGTTTCATCTCCAATTAAAAAAGAACATATTAACTTCTACCATCACAGAGCCTGATGAAGAATTTTAAAATGTATTTTCCTGAAAAAGAAAAACACAGAAGAATTCTCTCCTAACTGCTATTTGTTTTAAGAAAAAGGTTCTTACAAAGTTCAGCTGAATTTGTAGCGTAAGCGATGTTTATGAATAATTATTGTATATTAAAATCTCTACTATTGTCCCTTACCATAGGAGCTATTCACAATTCAGGCTTAAATATGTAATTTTTATTTTTCATTCTCATACTTTCTTCAAAATGCTGCCATATCTCTAAGGCTCAGAGAAATGTACACTGGCACTAGCAAATAAGCCAAAGCTGATGAAAAAGCTCATTTCTATTTACAATTGCTTGATACCATAGGTTTTGGGGAAATTGATGATCTCCTTGATATAGAGTAACCACCAAGAGACAATAAGAAATGTCTGGTAGGGTCAAAATGTGGACGTGACATTCTGCAGAGGTCTGAGATTCATTGAGTTAACCACTTACCCACACATATTGGTTTTAACTTAGAGGTGAAAAGGCAGAAAGAGAGGAAAGCTATAATTTTTATATAAATAAGACTTGCCTATCTGTAAGGCAGTTGTAGGCATGACTTCTACAATTTTTCAAGCTTTTAACTGTGTTTTTTTACGACTCATTAAACACAGGATGGTCATTGATTTCTAAAGTATTATACTTGAAGCAGGACAAGATTCCTGTTTATTTGTGTCATTGTAGCAGTTCATAGTGCATAGCACATGAGTAAAATTATAGTAGCACCAGGAATATGTGACTTTCTTTGGATTTCAATCAGTTCAAAAAGTGTGCCCACACATTCTTATTTTTTCTCTCAAAGTTGTATTATAAAATGGAAAAAACATGTGCCAAAGGACTTTTTTTTTCTTTTCATAACATTAAACACTGCAATATTTACTCACAGTAGTTGTTCCCTAGGCCTGAGCTAAAGAGTGAACACTTGTGGCTTGAATAGTGCATTACAGGAACTCAGTTGTGACACTTAGATTAAATATGAAATAGCTGCCACATGTAGAAAGAGGTTCTTTTAATCCTTTTCCAAAATTTCCAACTATATTTTACACTAAAAAACAATTTTGCATTTTTCAAGGTTTTCAGTATTCAATTTTAAACTACCCATTATTTCAAAATCTAGTTTTACAGTATTAAACTAAGCAACGTCTTTTACAGACTGTCTACATAATTGTTATTAAGCAAACAAAACATATCCAGAATTAAATAGCAATAGCTTTTCTCTACCCTTTGCATGACAAATTGTTACAAAAGATTGAAGTTAAAAGATAATTAAAACAACAATTCTATTTCTTTTCTCTTTTGGAGATAATTTTTTATGAACTCAAAAAATGTGTGTCTCTTCCAGGCAGCATTTGATGAAAAAATGAATAGTGGATGTGACTTGAAAGGAGTTCCTTTTTCCTCAGAAGGAAAACCCTGCAAACAAGCAAAAACTAATGCAATGGTAATTCTAAAGGAACAGAAATGCTATTATGTTCTTTGAAACATCACTGTCTTTCATTGCTGTTGCTCTGTTTTTCCACTGAGTTTTAATAAGGAAAAAAAAAAACCAAAAAAAACCCCAAAAAACCCAAAACTAATCCAAAAGTTAATTTTAGTTTTTCAAAAACTTTCTTCTGTTTTTAACTTGTCTCAAATATCTGAAACATAGGTTGTTTAGGTTGTGGAGGGGAATTACTTCTGTAAGGACTGAAAAAATTCATATTAGAAGCACAGAGAAGAAATATTTTGAGGCAGAATAAAAGCCTTATTTTTAGAAAAATCTGCCCAATCGGATGTCTTCTAAACCAATGATAACCTTATGATTTCAAAATACATGTTGAAAATTTTGCTAACTCTAATTAGCAAATTAGCTGCTCTGTAAAGCTATGTCCTGGACTTGGAGGTATGGACTTAATTTGAGGATGACAGTGATATTTTAAGTAGTGCAAGAAGGTGATTAAATTTGAGTTGGATATCCTGATCTCTAATTATTAATTAGTCTACTTACCTTCAGCCATATTTTGCAAGAATGCTGGAAATATGCCAAGTTGAATAAAAAGAATGGAATCTTTCCTTTAGGGAGGTTATCCTGCAAACACTCTGCACAATCAATTGATTTTGGTGGTCGTATTGAGACAAATGATGCACAATCAGGTGCCTTCCACCATTAAGATCTTGAATAGATAAAGTGATGTTTATTTAACAATTCCAAACTGTGTGAATTTTCTGGGAAGTGGAACATTCCCATATTAGATGATGAGCATATGCTTTTCTTGCCCTTCTGGTCATGGCTGCTCATGAGCCCTGCTGAAAGCAGACAATCCCAACAGATCCTTCTTTGGAAGACTGATTCTGCTAAGTCCATTCATATTGCCCATTTTCTGAATTTTTTCATAAATAGAAGATGGAAGCAAATAATTCCAGCTTTTCCCACTGTCCTAAATCAAGAAAGAAGCTTCAAACACTACCACATTCTGCTCTTACAGTGAGAGCAGAGGACACATTCTACTGTGTAATTTATTCTACTCTGGGGTTATCGAAAAATTGATTTTTATGCAAGGCAAATGGCTGCAAGCTGGCAGGTTCCTGAATTCATTCCTCTGCTTGTTCCCAGCAACTTGGCTTACTCTCACTGCTTTATTGCTCCGTGTTTTGGCAGCCACTGAAAAACCTTAGCGATCTGGGAAGACAGGCTTTCTATGATCTGCGTCATTCAAAATATCATTGTGGTCTGTATACATCTCTGTGCCATATCCTTCTGTAGGAGTAAGAATATCTTAATTCACCTTCAGATATTCTTTTGCTTCTTTTGCAAATTGGCAAAAGTTAACATTTTTGTGTTCTGTCCCATGAAAAATGTAAGAACTGTATTTTAGCATTCTAGAACATTTTCTTATCAAATCATTTCGTATTAGAAACTTGCATTTATTCAACTACTTCTTTTTTATTATTTAGTACTTACTTTTACCCTTCCAAGGAAGGGAACAGAGGGAGGAAAAACCAAATTAGTAGTGAAATGAGCACATTTGGCTATCTAAAACCTCGAAACCAAGTATGTTCACTTTATATTTCTTCCTTGTCGAAGTTGCAGAAGGCATTGTGAGGGTTTTTTAATTAATCACCTTTGTTTCCCAGGAGGATCTAAAGTCAGTCCTCTTATTCTCCCCTTCAATTAAAAGTTCTTGGGCATAGTTTTTCTTTATTGAGGGCAGCATTTTCCAGGCAATTAAGAATGTATAAAAAATACTGGTCTGCTTAATTCAATCTTCTCCATTTTCCTGGCTCTGATGCTTAGCAAATTGACAGCTTTTTTTTTTTACAGCCACTCTTCCAAGAATAAGGGTATAAAAATTTGTAGCCAGTTTATGCTCTCTCAGTGTCCAGCAGTAATGTGGAACTGCAGTGCCACACAATTATAATACAACTTTCTAACCAAAAAGTAGGGGTGTATTTTAAAACACCTCAGGCATTTTGATAACATTCTCTTTGTCATGTTCTCCTTAATCAACTCTCAACTGTATATTGCTATATTGTTCATACCAATAAAATTTACAAAAATTACAAAAAGCCAGAACTGTCTTCACAGAGACAGTGATGAGTAGTGAAGCTAAAAGAAGAAAAAGAAATTATTTTTTATTGCTGTGCAGCTCTTATCTGTCGCAATCCTCTTATTCAATTTAACCCACAGCTAATTCCAAATCATCCACCTGGAGGTTTGCACATTCATCAGCTGGAACAGCAGTGACACATGAGTCTTTAGCTGATAGGAAATTATTTCTGGAACTGCAGGCATACTGCCAAATAACTCAGATAGCTATCTTAAAAACTTCTGCAGCTCTAATGTGTCTTGTTGTCTAGCATCTCACCTTATTTCATGAATTTATCACAACTCTCCTTACTAAGTCATTTCATGAAAGGAATGCTGTTTACCTCCTTTTTATACAAAATTTCACCATATATCTAATAAAATTACTCTCCTACATGAGCGAACAACAGGTAGCTCTGGAACTGCTGACTATTGTGGGAAGGGAGACTCAGTATTTTAAGACAGACAGATTTCACAGAATCACAGAATCAGATAGGTTGGAAAATACCTTAGAGATCATCAAGTCCAACCTATGACCTAAACCATAGCACTAAGTGCCATATCCTGTCTTTTTTTACCCACCTCCAGGGACTATTTCATTAGCCTCACCATTTGGAGGGTTGGTGTTACCTTCTAAACTGTAAAACAAAATGCCCACTGAAACTTGTAAAAGCTGTCCATAACAGACTGTACTTTTTCCATTGGCTGCTCTTTCCTGGTTTCCATGTAATGCAGTAAGAAAAGGCAAGCCATATCTCATAATCTTATATGCCTACACAGGCAGATGATTTTTTTCAAGGCATCTTCTTCTTCTTGCTCACAGTGAAATGCTTGTGCCTCTTACGTCAGTGCCTTTATCATTTATTAATATAAAAGGATAGTCCTTAACATTAGGGTATATTTCTCATTTGAAAGTTAGAAAGTGGGACCAATGACCTTCCTGGAGTTCTTCCTGAGCACCACAGTGTGTGATCAATATTCTCAATGTCTTTAACCTACAGACTGAGCATTTCTCTGCATTTTCTTTATTTTTCTAAACAGTCTGTAGGTTTCTTATTTCCTATATAGCAAAAGGCTGCAGTGGAATTTCAGCAGTTTAGCAGAATCCTTCCTTCTTCACTCAGCAATTTCATTCTGCCAAGAGATACAGAGCATAAAATCAAGGCTCATCCAGATCTCTTTCCAGAAGACTACTTAAAATAGGCAAAAACCAGACTATGTATTGGGAATGTATTTCCACAGATGAAAGGTGAGATATTTTGCTTTAGAGGTTTGTTGGCTTTTTTTATCAGTTAATTTTAGATCCTTCCTCCCTCCACAAGCATAAAATTAGCTCAACTTACACTTGACTACTGAGAAAAAGGTATAGTGTTATTAGTCTTGTTCTATACTTGTATGCCTACCACCTTCTTATGGTTCATCACACTCTCTTCTTGAAGGGTTCTAGTATATATGTGAAAAAATGAAGGCCTTTCTTCAAGACTCAGTGGCCTTAATAGTATTCTTTTTCCCTGGGATCTAGGAGGAGTTCTTTCTTCGTAATTAAGGCCACAGTTTAGATACTAAAACCAAAGCTGTGTTCTATAAATAAAGGGAAATTATGTTTCAACAAAAAAAATTATCTCAGCTTGACCAGAATTACTATGAGAAGTTAAACAGTAAATTGTTTTTATGCTGAAAATTTGATGGATAATTTAAAGAGATATGATGGCCTACAACCCTGTCTAGCTAGGACTAAGTCCTGAACTAGGGATAAATATTGTTCTAACCATCTAGTTTACCTAGCAGCTGTTTCTTTAAATGACTTTGTATTGTGACTGACTTCAAGCACTTGGTTAGTTACTGCTGACATTCCTCAAGTGAGATATCCAATATCTGTGATGATGTATTGCTTTCTACAGACTACTTTCTTTTACTTTTCTTTTTTTGTTTTGGGTTATTTGCTGTTTATAAAGGACAAGCAGAAGATGTGGTTATGTCTATTCATATAGGGGAAAGCTTTCTCAAGGATGAACCAGGCAAAGCAGGCACTGATATGTAGCCAGTAACTTGCTGGGTATTCTTTTATCTAAGTAAGGAATGGCTCTAGTCAGAGGAGACACAACAGCCTCTGGTGCCATCGAAGCACCCACATGGAGGCTTAAGCCAGCCTGTGGAGCTTCTTATAGGGGAATGCAGTGCTCCCTTCAGTGTTTAATACAGCCCTTAATACTCTTTTAATGTCTCTATAACTTCTTGCAGTAGTGCTTCCAAGACAGGAAGCTGTAATGAAACAATATATTCTAAAATACAAAGAATTAAATACCCACAGTGAAGCTGGTGATGGCTTTTTACTGAGAGTGTATTAGGATTACAAGTTTAAAAAAAACAGACCTACTAGGTCTGAGTCAAAGCTTTCCACATTAATTAAGACCACCGACCAGAATAGGGGCTTGAGTTCAAATCAGGAATCAGGAAAATCATTGGATAATATTCTGTAAGAGTTGATTACTAATTGTTTGGATTCAAAACTTGTGGAGCGTAGATTTGTAACTCAAGTATTAGTGTGAGATCTGTGATTTACATTCTTAAAGTGAGGCCCGAAACAGGTAAATGCTAAACTTTCTAAATTGCACATTGATATAAAATGGATGAAGAGAACAATACTGATGACATATATTTTAAAAACTAGTGACAAATGTGAAATAGAGCATGCTACAGAGTCCATTCCATGCTTATGGACCTCATGGGATCTTTAAAATAAAAGCAACTGTGGAACTCATGGAAAGCTGCTAAAATAATTGCATTTGACAGTATTACACAGGCAGCCCAGGGAAGTACAGCACTGTCAGACAGAGTGCTGCAAAGGAAAAAAAAATAAATTAAACAGAATAAGCTCCCATGAAACACTTCCTCTGAACAACACGGGAAATCTGGTGCAGAAATTACAGTATCACACTCCCTTATTCTCTTTCACAGTTGTTCAGGACTCCTGTGACTTTTTTGTTATTCACAATCACTTGCAATGCCAACCTTAAATCATGGATCAAGCTGTGGCTACCACAGGTTATCACTAAACCCCTCACATAATCTTGATCTAAACTGTCAGTATACTGCTATCAAAACATTTTTCCCCACCGTGACAACACATGCAATTTTTTTTCAAAGTGAGTGTAATTTTAGTAATCAAATAAATACTGCCAACTATGTGCCAAATTGAATTTTCTTATAGAATACAGACAAAATTTTAGATTTCTAACTATCCTTCCTTCCTAAGTTTTTGTTAGGGGTGTGTGACTTTGTTGCTAGCAGTGCAGCTTGTGATGTCATAGTGAAATGAAAGTACAATTATGTGCCCAATGTGCCTTGAATAATACAGGTAGCACTAGTACCAGTATGTCATTCTAAGTTAGATAGCCATCCCAGTGATCCCCTAGATTAACCTAATCAGAAAAGTCAAACATCCATGTGCTTCATCTCCTCAAGTTCTCAGACAATGACTTTCCCTTCTTGATCACATCCATTCCAGTTTACTTTGTGTTAAGGAGTAGGGCTGTGCGTCTAGAATACTATTTATATTCGTATTTTGATCCCGGCATTTGTATTTCTGGATACAAATAAATACACATTAACAGAAAATGCAAGTATGGCGTGCATGTTTGGTGGTTGTATTTTTCTTATGGAATTTGAGAGCTTAACAAAATAGAAATAGATTTCTGGAAATTTGCTTGAGAGAAAAGGCATGGTGTGTTACCTTTCTAATAGGGTATAGGGTGTTCTTTAAAGTAATTTCAAATGAGTCTTTAAAAAATATTTCAAACAGTTAAGCATGAGCTGACTAAATTGCAAAAAATATTTGAGACTGAAGTTTATCCATGGGACTAATTTAAACTGGGAAGAATATGCTACAAAGTTCAAAGAGAAATCAAGAAATAGGCTGTGTATTTTTCATAAACTGCTTGAATGCGAAGACTCTGCAATTTTAAAATTTTGATCCAATTTGGTTTCAAAACTTTCCCAATCCCAACTTTTTCAGTACTCAATGAAATCTACTGGTAAATCTATACTCTGTATTTTTACAAGACTTATTTTTCAGCAGCCACATATTGTTAAGACTATCTTCTTGATTTATGCTCTTTGAATGTAATTTAATTCCCGCCTCTGTACATTCATGACCACAGAATTGTCAGTCTCAACCCACTCCAACTGTGAAATGCCTACTTCATTTTAGGATTCCATTTCATAGTAACACTGGAGCTGACAGCTGGGCCACAGATAATTCATAAGACAATGCACAAATTTCCCATATCTCTCATGATCCCACAGATTCCCGTGTCTGAGCTTGCTATATTTATACTTTCTGTATGTTTCTAGCACTAAGGCATGTTTTTCCAAAAGACATTTTATTTCAAAAAAACCAATTACACCCAGAGTATTTAATTAAATCTTCACTAAGAAATCTCTTTTTTCTTGTTTTCACTTATTAGTTTGACATGCAATTCATGCTTTATCCCCATTTGTGTTCTGATACAACAACTAGATACTTACCTGACCTGTCTACTCAAAAATAAACATAGATTCTGTAGTTCCCCAACAGCATCTGACCCTTGTTATTACAGTTAGTAAAATGCAGTAACTAGGTAGATGTGGTTATGCCTCACTCCCCTGGACAGCTAGCAAGCAGAATTGTTGCCATGACTATTTTCTGTAGATTAGTCATTAACTCTTGCCATTGTCACAGTGTGAACACAATGCCAGCAGAACTTATTTCCCTTGCAGAACTTGTCCTGGAACACCAGCTATATTCTTGCAATTATCCAGGGAGCCTGAATGTGAGTTGAGCACATCGGCCATTCCAGAGGTTTAAGGTGCTCATCCTGCCAAATTCCGGAGACTCTGACACATCTCTCAATTTAATAACATTTCCTGCCCAGTAGGCTCATGCGTGCAATAGAGTATGATGATGAATCGTGCCAATAAGTTCTGCCTTTTTATGTCACCCTCTGTCTCACCACCACAAATCTAGTTAAGAACTGAATTACTGCTTGGCAGTTTTAGTTAAACTAAACTCAGTTTGTGAAATGGAAAGTGAGCAAAGCTGAACATCAGGGAGCTATCCAGAAAATAAGGACTAAATGGAATAGACATTTTCCTACTGACTGATATTAGAAGACCATTGTCACTTAACAGCCATAGTAAGAAAAACCTCACATTTTAAAAGTTGGTTTATAAATGGAAACCACCTGTGTTAGGAACACAAAATAATTGGTATATGCTAAAGTTTCACATGCAACAATATGTGCCAGGTTGGGGGGGGTGGGGAGGGGGACTGGGTGGGTAATTGATTGGCACGTTTGCGTGCTTTTTTTTTTTTTTTTTTTTTTTTTAAAGAACTTACATTCTTGTAGAGTGCAACAGAACCAGAACTGATCTTAAAAGAAAGAATTTTCATCTAAGGAAATTCTGGGCTAATGGGAGTTTCATTAGCCCATCCTCTAGTCTTGAGCAAGCAGCACACACCATAAACATAACCATAGTGGCTTTAGATTCTAGGTGGTGAGAGGATGGGATATATTTACAAAGTCTTAATCTAACAGTGTCATGGATCATAGCAGAGACAAAGAGATACACATTGATAAGGTGCCTTGGTGTTTTGCTGTTGTCAGGCAGTAAAGGTCTACAAATATAAGGCAAAGCAAGAAAAAAGCAAACTTTCACTCTTTCTAGGTAAACAAAGAAGCCCTTGCTATCCTGTGTGGGGTCTTTTACCTGTAACATCAATTTTTTCCCTCTGCACATAAACAGCACTTTTAGGGTCAGATAGGTCTGAGCATTGCTGTTTGGTATCCTCACAGCAGTGAGGGCACTGGAACCATGGTCCTGCATGTGTAATGACCAGGAGGTAAAACAGCACCGAGTCCTGTACAGCTCAGTGTCATGGTCACCTGAAATGCATGAAGGGGACTGTAAAACACACAGGAGTGGAGGCTGTGACAGTTCATCCCAAAGGAATCCTCACTGAAAGCAATCATGAATACATTAATGAAGGATTAAATTTTATCACAAAATAGTAGATTTTAATTCATTTAACTGTAGGTCAAGACACCACAAAACCCATTAAAAAGTGAATTGACAAAGTTCATATTCAGCCAAAACCTTACCCCTCCCAAATACCAAGAGATTCTCTTTCCAATATTTTTTACTATGAAATACTCTTGTTTTAAAGATACTCATGCAATTTCAACCAGAGAAAAATTGGTAAATATCAGTTCAAATGCTTTGACCATTATTTTTCAATAGAACTGCCTACTCAAAGCAGTGACAACTATAAAAGTTCAATGCAAAATTCCCATCGACTCCCCTGTTTCCCACTGTCCCTGCCAGCTGAAGTGTAAATGGAAGTTGCAATGCTATGCTTCTTGACTGACTATACAGGGAATCTATCTAAGAATCAGCCAAGGACTCATAGGATTAATACCACATGCATGCTGTCATTACTACACATTGACTGTGCAATCGACAACTGAGTATCTCCACATCCAGTGAACTATAAATCATGCTATTGTCTGCTCCTGGCACTTCTGCTGAGGGCTAAACTGGAGTTCAATAAGAAAAAGCATAACACTCTGTAGGAGAGCAGACAGATGCCACACATCAATGCAGGCTGGTAATGAGCCAGCAGAGCAGCAGAAGGAGCCAGTGAGAAGTGCTGAAATGGCCAGGCTGAATGAGTAATGAGTACAACTCACACAACCCTGGAATGGGTTATGTTATGGCTGTGTCTAGCAGATCAAAGGAATTCATTACTGCCCTATGCTCAGCTCTGGTTTCTACAGGACAGTAATAGGTTTTGGCATGTCCTCCCTACCCACAAGGTCAAGGAGGATGCTGAAAAAACAGAGGGAACCTATTAGACAGCTGCTAAGATGATCAAAGGCCTGGAGCAGATGAACTGTGAGCAGGTGAGGAACGGAGTTCATTTGGAGCTGAGGCTAAGGGATGTTCTACTTGCAAACTGCAACTACTTGAAGCACAGAAACAAAGACATTAAAGCCAAATTCTCAATCTCCTCTCAACATTGCTGTAAGGTAGCAGGGAACAGGTGTTTCACCTTGGGATGCTTAGGTTGGAGATGAGGAACAGCTTTTCCGCATTACAGTACTGCAAGAAAGGGGCTGCCTGGGAGGGCTAAAGGGGCTTCTGCCAAAGAGGCTTTACACATCTGGCTGGATTGATCCTGGCCTAGTGTTGGTCGTGCTCCCCTTCAAGCATAAGATTTAACTAAACAACTTCAAAAGACCTCCCACATTCTAATCAACATTTCTGTGATTCTATAAAAGGACTTTTTCACCAGTTACCTCTTCCATAAATATTCAGCTAGATACACAGTGAACAATGACGTAACTAAAACCAACATATAAAATATCTGCTTTGGCATTGCTGCTATTGCTCATTCTCTGAACAATTTGTCTTTGTTTATAGTATATAAGATATGTAGGGAATCACATCGTGCTTTGCTAGTGAAACCTCTCAATACCATCTTGAGAAACAGATTTTTTACGACTGCGAAATCCAAGTTTGAATATGCCGTTTATGACAATGATTTTTTTAATGTATATTGCTGCCCTAGTTTTGTCAAATTAAAAAGTAACATTCATTATGCAGCTTCCTAAAATAAGCTTCTGATACCATCCCTATCTTATTTTCCCCTTGCAAATTGGTAAATTGTACTATTTCCATGTTATATTGCAAGAAGGAAAAACCCTAGTGGCTTTTAGTGGGCAATGTTCAAACTACATTTCTACACAAATCCAGGCTTCAAACAGGAAAAAGTATTAACCTTGAACATGAAAATGCATGATTGAATAACAGGTTCACTGTTACAGAAGATCTAGGTGCAGTTCCTTGAATCTATAATGTGTGAAGATACTTCAGTGTATGAAAAAAACAAGCAAATAACTCCCCTCACAAGAATTTAATTAAATTTCTATTCCTCACTGTAATGCAGGGTGCACTAGATTTTCCAAAATCATTTTAGCAATTGGTGGACATCAAATAGATATTTTATCCTCTTTTTATATGTTGCATACACAAAGATCTCCTTTATCTGCTTATGTTTTACATACAATGTGCAGTTACATCCAAAAGGGCAAAAAATGTATAACACATGTACATTTACACTCTACAACTCTCCAGAGTTCTTGTAGATGTTTTCCCCTTTGGCCACATACAAAACCAGCCATTCACAAATGGGAGACAGTAAGGATAGGTGAACACAGAATGCTTAGCAGAAGGTTAAGGCCTTGAGTTAGTGAGAATATTTCTACTGAGTACCTTTGGCTCAAAGGCTGCCACTCTATCTGTGTTATGTGTGTACATACATTTGCTTAAGAGAGGCACTGAACTCATTAGTGCTGCATGTATGAAACAAAGCCAGATTGAAACTCATGATCATACAAAGATCATTTCAGTACGAAGTATTATCTTCACACATCTATGGAGAAACCTACCAAAACAGAAACACTTAGCTTTGTGTAAATCAAATCTCAATACCATCTGCTATGCAGCTGATTCTAGGAAGGGGTTGACTCCTGGTTCACTCCAGAGCTATTGGAAATAACAGGGCAGAGGGCTTTTGG